TCAGTAACCAATGCTTGTTGTCAGGGGCAACTAACGGGATCGGGTGGTCAGGCTCGCTGACTTGGTTGACACTTGTCATCGTATCCCGATTGCGTAGATCGGTGCTTATGCTGTAATCACTGGATTGTCTGGTCCAGACTCGATTATTTACAGACAGCCGCCATATAGCTGGAATATTGCTGAGTGCGACGTAAAACTAAAATCCATCACGCACTCACTCTGATTTGGTGAACATAGGAATAACGAAAAAAGTTATTTACTCAGAATGAACCACTGCAGGACATTGCAATGAACAACCTTTCGATGTTCTTTAGGCGATATGTTACAACACATGTACACAAATAGTTGACGTACAAGACTATCCAAAACCATTGTAATTGAGGCAGTAGACTATCATTTGGTCGTTGGAAGGAAGAACGTTACTGAAGGTTCGTTTTAAGCATCACCCTTAGTGCATCAGCAACAATAACTGTTTCTATTCACCGCTCTGAAAAGTATAAAGTTTCGACCCAAACCACTCTTTAAGTTTAGTATGAGGGTTTTACACGTCCTCTTTATATTCATCACTCCCACATGTCGAGTACTAAAACTCTTAACCAGATATATAAAGAAATTGTACAGTCTTGAATCGAAGACATGTCGTGCATAATTCTTAGCTCTGCTCTCGCTAACGACTTCAGGACCAGTTTTGATCCATGTGGATACATTTGATAACGTAATGTTACTGGATTTTACATGATCAATACAATCAAATGTTGATCAAGATGTCTTAGTTAATAATTATCTATCCCAACGATATTGTAAAACTGAAAGCATGACTTGTCCAGGTTTCGAAAATCACCTCCAGTAAAATTTGATTTGATAAGTCATTCCTGTTTAATAAATACAATCAAAATTTTATGGGCTATTTTGAATTATTCCTGCCAGGCTTATTAGTACCGCAACGAGGACTCACCAAATTCTAGCGACTATTCAAATACGAATGCAATGATAGCCAGCATCTCACAGTCGTCAAATTAGAAAAGGAGCAATTTTCATGTATGATCAAGGATTAATTTTGGTCTTATGGTACGTAATGCAATCAACTGCGTTTGACAATTTATCATAGTTCATTGTCGTGGAATTGGTTCGTTTGTTCTTGAAGAATCTTCAGCCACGGTTATACATGTTTGACATTTTGTAGTTGGGAGCTGTATACGATGACTGACTGACTGAGTTTGGTTTTACGGCGCTGTTAGCAATATTCCAGCAACGACACCTCGGGGGACACCAGAAGTGGCTTCACACATTGTACCCATGTGGGATTCGAACCCGGGTCTTCGGCGTGACGAGCCAACGATTTAACCACTAGGCTACCTCAATGCCCCTGTAAAGCATGAATAGTTTAAGCATAAACAAATTGAAAACATTCAAATACATTAGTGAAAATTGTTTTAAACCACCTTTTTGGTATAATTTACATTCAAGAGGATTTTTTCCTATATTTTATGATTTGTGCAAAAGGCATATCTGTTTATTGCTTTTTCATGATACATCATAAGAATTTTAAAGCAACCTTCATCACGATTTTGTTGTGATTTTAAAACGTTCTGTAATGCCTAGGGCTGTAATCCTTTATTCATAAATGTCCCAAGGTTCAAATATCGGTGTATCTAAATTCACCTTTAAAATGTCCTGAGAGAAGGTTCTTTGTCCTGATATCAGAGCAAAGTCTTTGTCCGCATATTGATATTATAAAGGTCTCTTATTTACATGCCTGGAGTAACTTAAAGTAAATTTGCGAAAGCCTTTCACTGCTGGATTTGATTTCCTCCTATTTTATTTTCACACAGTTTTTTTTCAAAGATGGTATTGAAATGCTATTTTACAGGGATTTGAATAGTTCACACCTTTGTCGGTTCTCAAGGCTGCTGTAGAACGCTTACAAATTATTTACACATATTTTATCCAGTCATATGTCGACGTACTGTAAATACCCTCAAGCATTTTGCACTCAACGAATCTGAAGGAATCTGTTAATTGATCTGCATAGAACCTATGCTGTCTCTTATTATACCAACATCGTTAGTTTTGATTGTGATGTAATGGTCAATACAAGCCTGAAAGCTATAGAAAATGTTCTTAGAGTTTGGTATTAAAGTTTGTATTGATGTTAAAATATTCAGACGAGATACCTGCCATGATAATACAATAGTCGTATCAGATATATGACACATATACATAAATAAATCATGAGGATGTGTTAATGAATCACTATAAACACAGAGGATGATACCAGGTGTTCGCGCAAAGGTGAGCGTATCATAAACACAGTCAAAGGGTAGTTAATAGTTCCTCTGACAAAAATCGGGAAGGTATGGCACGAAATCAAACACAATTTTTATCACGAAACTGAAATCACGTCAAACTGTGAAATTTTCCCCACATATCTACATGAAAATTTTGGATAGTTTATAGTAGGTGATTGAATAACAGTTCCTCGAAACTAGGCTTTCCAGTGAAGAGCAAGAATTCCACAATATATGTATCAGTGCCCAAAGTGATGTCTGGCGATGCTCCCTGTTTGCCCTTTACACTGTTTGTACCCATGAAGATCCGGGTTAGAATTGAGGCCACTAACGTGATCGGGTAGTCAGGCTCGCTGACTTGATTGACACACGTCATCTTATCCCAAATGCGTAGACTGATGTGCATGCAGTTGATCACTGGATTGTCTTGTCCAGACACGATTAAGTACAGACTGGAATAGCTGGAATATTGCGTCGAGTTTGTTTGGTTTGGTTTTTTCACTTTTTCGTTCTTTCTTTTATTGTATTTTTCAGGGTTATCGTGGTTCTTTTTCATTTGAACAATTGATTGGCCTTTAGTATGAATTTTTGTAGGGTGTCACTGCTGAAGACAGATACTATGATCTTTTATAGCAAATCCCTGGTATCATCAATGTTTGATTTATAAACACATGCTTATGTGATAGTCAGAATCGTGAAAGCTGCTGCTTATAACATACATTTCTTATATTATTATGGAAAGGATTTTTAATTTTATGCACATAACATGGCCTAAAATCTAAGGGAATTCCACGGACCTGTTCTTATTATCTGCAGCAAAACGTACAAGAAAACATCAACACCTTGTATAAATATTTACATGTTAGAGTCTGAAACTGTGCGTGCATCAGTGGAAGTACTCATTTATTCGTTTGGTGTTACATATTTTTTCAGATCATATATTGCACGAAGCACGCAACTTTTAAAAGTGAGTGACATAGCTTTTTAAATGCTCTTTCAAGAAAGGGTAAAGAAAGATGCCATACAAAATAAACAAATGAATGCAAAGATAATATGTTTAGATAAAAATCCACTTTGCATTCCAATGTCAACAGTTCCATTTGAAAACACGGAAGATCATGAATTCTTTTCAACTAAAATGTTGGCATGAATACTTCTAGAAGATTGGTGGTGGTTATTAAGGTTTGTTCATCTAGTTGTGAGTATGTGCATAGGTGGGTGTGTTGCTCTTAAATCTGCATCATGTTACACCTGTTGTGCCTCGAACACCCGGTGTAGTAGTAGTAGTAGTAGTAGTAGTAGTAGTAGTAGTAGTAGTAGTAGTAGTCCGGCCATTGTTAGAACAAAAGTGCCGCAACGAATTTCGATCAGCACTTTATGATGCAAAGTTTAATTGGAACGGTATGAATCTTCTTCTTCAATGTCCGTTCGTCAAATACTTGATAACATCTGCAAATTCTTTATCATTTATTGAACAGTATTTGTGTGACATTTTCTGAATATGACTTCACTTTATTTGTGTCGCGCAATATACAAGCAGCTAAATCCCTTGGTGGTCTACATTTCACAGTTCTGAGATACAATCTAGCATGCTCTTCTGCGAAAATGTCAAAGAGCGTCGTATGACCCGTGCTAAAAACTTCTTTGATCAGAGTTACCACATGCACGGCCTAAGTAAGACGCGAACAATCTCAGACAAATGGAACATATTGTAAACCTGCCCCAGTGACCAAAATGATTTTTGACGCTGTTCGTTATTTTGTCTTGTACTATACGTTCCCATGTCGTGTTTGTGCATTAAAAATTGACTTGTTTTACCATATAAGTGTGACTAGTGGGCGTAATACGCATTCGCAAATACCTAGTATCATTACCATGCTTGTGATATATTTGGAATCGAACAACGGATATTTTTTGTGATCACTGAGAAGGGTTTTGTCGCTTTTATTGTCCGTTCAAGTACTGAATTCTGAATACGAAGTCAACAATCTGCTTCCTACGTATAACTATAATGCATCAACGTAGGGTGCTCCTTTATAGACAAGTCTCACAAAACAATTATACTCTAATTCAATTAGAGGAACCAACCTCCTTTATCTCGCTCAGTCGGGAACAGCACGCGGACGTTGTTAGCAACATCAGCAACAGCTCCTGTGCCACGGGACGGAGAAATCGTGCTGGTAAATGCTCTATCCAGCATTCTCATTACTACAAATTGCGATGACAGGAGTTCGCATAAGTTAACCCCTCTTACCCCTAGCGTTGTTGGCTTAAAATTCCACCGCCTTTGGAAATATAGAAAATAGAAAATAAAAATATCGAGCTCTTGGCACTTGGCTGGGAAAGCGTAAGTTCTCTTTTGGAAGAATACTTTTGGTGGTGGTAGTCGTAGTAGTGGGGGGAGGGGGTGGGGGAGGGTCTGTGGGGTTGTTATTGCCATTGTGGCTGTATTGCAGATTTATAAATATTTGGAAGCTATACACGTACACAATTATATTGATGACACATTTCCTCAAATTTCAGCTATTTTTTGGATTCCTTTGGCCTCTCGACATCTGTGATTAGTTTGTCAGTTAATTAGACATGAATTAGAATTATTTTCGGACCACGCGTCATTATCTCGCTGTTTGGCGTGGGAAGGGTTAAGGTGGGTTCCAAAGTACTACTCCTACTGAATGCACATTTTCCTCCTATAAATTATTCACCCGCTCCATGCATCTCTACCATACGAACACGAACCCCTCATTGTTCCTTGAAGCTTATGGGCCTATGGACTTGAGAAGGGTCCTTATACTACAACGCTAGATCCATGAGAAAACACTGACAAGCTTCCTCAGCATCCAATTTTCAGCCCAGCCTACAGGTGAGTCCGAAGCAGTAGATGTGTTTAAATATGTATGCACGTTCAAGAACAGTAAAACAAATTTAAGAGAATAATATATAAAGGAAAGTATAGGATGTTAGGCATGCAAGTAAAGAAATGAACGTTAGCGGGCATGGAATCCAGTTTGGTTTGTCAATTTTTTGTTTATTTGTTGTTGTTTTTATTGAAATACAGATTTCTAGCCGAAAATGTCTGATAATTTCATAAAGAAATACAATTTCTGTGCATAGATTACCATACATATCATAAGTGCCTCAGAATTAACTTTAATACTGTGTTTGTGAAATATAGTTTGTGTATAGCTTAATACAAACGATAAGCTTGGAAATGATTTGAAAGCTATCTCTAAATATTCTATCTGTGCAACTTAAGTATGATAATTTCATTCTGAGTATTTAAAATCAGCAAGAACGCGGTTTTTAATGACAAACAGTTTCAGCTGTTTCAAATATTAATTATCATTCCTGCTTAAATGAATTATTAAAATGTGGCGTCGCACTGGCAGATATCGTGGAAGGTTGCATCATAAGTAACGTTACATTCTGATGCTAGAACAGTCAGTTTAACAGCATAAAGCAACTGTTTGAAAAAAGTGTGAACAGTACGCAGCTGAAACATCGATTATTACGTACATGTTATATATATTTTACCAACTCTACCAAGTATGGATTTCATCATGCTAGCGGTTTAATAGGTGCCAAAACGTTTGCTGCCGGTCCCCGTTGGCAATAGTTGTAAAATATGTCATATCGGAACTTTTTGTAACGTCACATAACTTGTTGATAGTCGCCGCTGAATGTTCAAAGACATCAGTTTAGTTGAAATTTAACTTCTTAATATTTGATTAAATAGTTATTTGCCTTTAGTTTTGGTTTCTATTCGCACTCCGATACATGTGGACGCTGAAGATATTTTGTCATCTTGGCAAAGCTTTTAAATGTTTCGTGTTTCTTTTATTTAAACAAAACCTCAGAGACAACATAATTCTATTTAGCAATCTATCAAAATAATGTGCCAAGAACATTTTCACAGGTATTTGAAACGTAGCTTTTAGTTTTAGACCCGAAACGCCGACAAATGAATTTTTATTTATCATGATATCGTTAAGCATGGCCCATGTGTTGTAAACCGGTATCACAAAATAGAAAAGATTGGGTTACGTAATGTTATCCAATCTTGGGGTTCGTAATTACAAACGGCTTTATAAGTTATTGATCTGCAATACTATTCCCGAATTTAAAGCTTTTTAACCGATCCTGACATTTCTACATCTGTTTAACAGGAACATTTATGTTTGAAACATCTCCTTTTGAAACCCTAAGTTTTTTAAAATGTGTAGGGTATCGCGTTCATTTAAACTTAATAGATGACGGGTTTAATACAAATTCACATCTCGTTCCTCTTCATCCAAAAATGTTGTTGTATATGTGAATTCGTGAATTTGACTCAGATTTAAGTAAGTTGAAATTTAGGACAAATCCTGAAGTGGAACCGATTGCGTTGCTCTACAAGTAGGATTTCATTGCATTTCAGAGTAACAGCCTATAAATCTTTCCTATAGGCCTGTTCATTTATGCCTATTGCTCACTGTAATGACAGAACTGGATGTAGGCGAATGTGATTACCGAACACTCAAAAGTACACTTTTGTTCATTTTAGTCCAGTAACTTGTCATACTGCAAAAGATTGGACTCACTGAACTTGATAAAAGAGATACCACGGCTCGATATTATTACCCGCTTTTAGTAATATGGGGTTCAATCGTATCTTGTTTAAGACATGTTTTAGACACATGTTTTAGACACATGTTTTAGACACATGTTTTGCAACGTTAGTTTAAAAGAGATAGTATATCCCTTAAATTTTGATCTTCAAAACGTCTATGCTTTTGCCCCTAATTAATGACACTTTTTCCGTGTTGCACCATTGAAATGATATTTGACAGAAATGTTTCCATGGGCCACGATAATCCAACACAATGGCATACTTACCCCTTGTTGCGTGACGTCATTACCTTGTCAGAAAGGGAACACAAAGTCATTTTCATTTTCTCATCTACGAAATTGTTTGAAATGTCCTGAGCCTAACGTAGACGAAAGTTTGTTTTTGCGAAACCTTTGGTTGTGGACATTGCACGATGCCATTAAAGAATATCTACAAAGAATAATTGAGGCTTCCAATTACCATGTTTCGCGGTGTCAAGTCGGGGGAATATCAGGCGTCCGTAACCTTCGGAAAACGTGAAAAGTGAGGAATGTGAATTGATCAAGCACATGTACTTGCAGCAGAGGGCTTAACACCAAAATATGACTATGATGCTGGGGAAGCCAATATCTTGCTATGCCACCATAGAAATGTAGGTAGCAGTTTTTTAGCGTCGAAGAGGGAGGCTTGAAGAGGAGCTCCGATCCTGGAAGCCCATACTACACTTCATTATCAGAGAAAGTATGAATGAAGAAAGTATCAGCCAGTCTGCATCCAAATCACCTGGCATCTGATAATAAAATCACCAGGCACAACCTGTCTCTGTATGATGCTGATCCAGAAAGGTTCTTGCAACGATTTGTAAATATTGATGAACACGGGTTTACAACAGCATCACCACCACTGCAGAAGGCAGGGACTGTCCCATAACCTAGAAGGATTAAGGACTCGGGGTTCTTAGAAGCCGGGGGTTTCATTCTGGTGGAGTATCTGCCAAAAGCCGTCGGCCGTTGGAGGCGTTCCTCTCCATTAATAAAGATATAAACAGAACCCATTTCGACCCGGACGATGATGTCATGGCATCAAATTTTGAACAACGACAAAAAGGACGAAACTAGAATAAAATCCCTCCAACTGTTGCAGTTTATCAGCGTGGATTAAGTTTATAAATGTATAACTCTATTATCTAAAGGAAAATCTTTTTATATGAGGATCAGAAAGTATCAGCCGTAAATCGGACTCAAGGTATACGAGCGGGGGAAAACCTATTTTTAGGTGTGCATCTGTTACGTACCATTGATAATGTTAGTTAATGCATGGGCAGTTGAGGAAAAACACGTAAACCTAGTGTGTGGAAATCTGGTCTGTAAATGCAGAAAACATTTATTGTGACGAACCCGTAATTATGCGACAGCTCGCGAGTGACATAAGACGCATTTTATTTGCTGGTGCTCCTGAAGTGGTTAATCAATAATCATTAAACGACTACTCAGCTCTTAGTCGTGTGCCCATTTCCTTACCGGAATCGGCGTTATATCTAGTACCTCATGTGAACATGAGACATTCTGTGCAATGAAGGCAATTTCTAAATTGGTTTACATCAGATTATTACCTTAGCAGACCTAGAAAGTGTAGTTTTAACGGCTTAATTCAAACTTGATATAACGGCACTTGTCACGCTCCCTAGCTTCCATTGTATAGCTTGTTGCAACCCTCATACTGAGGTGAAACCAAATCCAAACAGATGATAGTGATGATGATTCATTTGTTCAACATAATATGAAAATCAATTTACTGTTTTGTTAACTGAAAAAAGCACCTACTCTTTAGCTTTGGCTAAAATACGAAGGATTTTTTAATTCAAACACGACGTTATGTTTGGCACAAGCGGATCAAGGAGAGAAGTACAGTGCTGCCCATCCCCCCTTTTACACTTGTGAAACGTTTATACATTGTCATACATGGTATTCGGTATACTAGAATGTGTATTTTACGACAATTATTTCATATTGGTAGTATGTTCCGTCATCAATGACAAGATTTCGAAAAGCCACTCTATATTCCTAAACGTTGTATACGCGCTTATTAAACATCACACGTTAACATCATACATGTTGTACTGACTGAGTTTGGTTTTACGCCGCTTTTAGCAATATTCCAGCAACATCACGGCGGGGGACACCAGAAATGGGCTTCACACATTGTACCCATGTGGGGATTCGAACCCGTGTCTTCGGCGTGACGAGCCAACGCTTTAACCACTAGGCTACCCCACCGCCCCTCATACATTTTGTAAACCTCATATAAAAATCACACATGTTAAGAATAGCATCACATTCTGTTGTGACCAATGAGTCTTGCTTTATCCTCCTAATGATATAATCATTATGTAAGCCATATGGAACAAGATTTAAACTATGTTAATTTCGGTCATCAAATTTTGTTGCAAACATACATGCACAAAGATAGCAGTTTGGAACAAGATATTCCGCCTGTGGCCATATGCATATTGGCACTGTGTACATTGTACCACAGTCTATAGCAATAAGGTATTATTTCATGCCTAAGTCCATAACAATTCTCTGGGGTATCTGCCCTGCCATTGTATCAAAGCCAGTGCTCTATATTGAATTTACATCGAATAGCGTTTACCGAGAAATGTACATAGCACCGCTCTTCGACAACTAAGGGCATTGAATTGAGTATGACACAGCTGGCGAGTGGATGACGGTGGATGAAATCTCATCTGCGTCAGGAATAAATGGGAATATGAAGATTGAAATGACTGGAAATGACAGACAGCAATATCATGGCTTTAACCCCTGATCAGCCCCATCCAGAAACGGACCATGTGGCTCTGACCATTTGTTCGCTTTTTTGTTCTAATGGAATCAGGTGTGGTTTAAATAGACTTTTTCTGTGATTAAAGGACAGCGTTGAAAAAGCATGGGTCAGCTGAGGTGATGTGAATGAGGTTTAACGTCGAGTTCAAGATTATTGCATGTAAACTACGACGGTCCGGACTTATATGTACAAATGCATGACTGTTTGATAGTGTTGAAACATGCAAACGGATTTTACTGACTCCGAACCTACCGTTGTTCTGTTATCACATAAATACCGAGCGCCAGGGTAACAAGTACAACCTTTGAACGTTATTTACTCTGACGCACCATACACCAACTTTCCACTTTCCGAGCAGGAACATAAATTAAAACAAGGTTAAAAACTCATCTTCTGTACCATCTCAAATGTCCGGAATATCTGGTATTGAT